GTGGTGGTGTCCAGTACAGCGGCACAGTAGTGGTGGTGGTGTCCAGTACAACGGCACAGGTAATTCTCTCAGGTAAAGGAAACTACCGTGTACAGGAAACTTGGGTACAGGAACAGCGGTACACAACAGTTCTAGGCAACAGCAGGAATAGGAACAGGTACAGGATCAGCGGCAGCGGGTACAGGAAACGTCCGGTACACAGGTGGTACAGCACAGGATCAGCGGCAGCGGGTACAGGAAACGTCCGGTACACAGGAACACAGACTCAGGTGATACAGCACAGGATCAGCTGCAGCGGGTACAGGAAACGTCCGGTACACAGGAACACACTAGTCGAGAGGTCCCGATTCCGCTCCAACTACGGGCCCCCATGTCAAATATTCTAGTTGTTGAATATTTGGCTCATTGTCTAGGTTTATGATTCTCGCTTTTGTTTACATGTCTTGTAAATCTTGTCACACAACAGACTAGTTGATTCATCAAAACAATACGCTTCAAGGTACATAAGACATTTATTTGCTGATCGCATTACGAGATTAATGCGTCTCATAGTTTAGTGAACATGAATCCAACGTATATGGCAATATTCCAATCAGCAAAACATGGCATGACAAAATCCACTATCTCCCAAAGAAAGACGTCTCGTTGTAGCGAGTCCTATCTCTCGTCTAACTCTGTGAACGTAATCCCCCGTGACATAATAATTCTTCTCCTCCCACTCTCACGTCTGTGAACCCTTTTATACCCCAAATCTCATGCCTCGTTCACTCCACTGTCATTCGCCCGTGACATGAAATTAGTTCACAATCCGCATTCATCCTCAAATCAACACACACACGCTACCTCATGATTTCATGACCTTGACTTCATAACCATCCCTGTAACAATACTCATTGTCATAACCATCCCTGTAACAATACTCATTGTCATAACCATCCCTGTAACAATACTCATTGTCATAACCATCCCTGTAACAATACTCATTGTCATAACATTCCTCACTACTGCTTTCCCATGTCTCTATAAATTCCTTTCTTTTTGCGTCTTCGAATTCTTTTAACTTTAACTCTCTCATTGTTTCGGAATCTACTCCCCACTTTTCACAATTTGCTGCCTTTACTTTTGCCTCTCTAAATGCTGCTTCTATTGTTATTCGTTCGAGTGCTATTTTTTCCTTTTCATATTTTTCTCTCATTTCTGCTATTATATCATTTGTTTCTTTTTCTTTTTTCTCTTTATAATCTTGTAATTCTCTATCTAATCTGTCTTTACGAGCTTTGTATTCTATATCTAATTTGTCTTTGTATTCTATATCTAATTTTTCTTCCTGAGCTTGCCATTCTCTTTCCTCCATTTCTAATCTTTCTAATTTTTCCATGGCATATTTCATAATTTCTTCCCCCTCTAATCTTAACTTAATCGCCTCCTGACAAAGTTCTTCTATGGTCTTCATTTCACCGGTTTACAATATATAGTCTACTTCTATTCTGGTACAACCCCACTTTCAATAAGTACCATGTCAAAAAAAATGTCACTTAAATTTCTGGTTACAAAATTATCATCATAAGACCACATAACATTTCTAATAAAGTTAATTACCCGGTCTTGTCTGTAGATGACTTGCTCCGGACAGCAAAACGTAGTGGTGGTGTCCAGTACAGCGGCACAGTAGTGGTGGTGGTGTCCAGTACAGCGGCACAGTAGTGGTGGTGGTGTCCAGTACAACGGCACAGGTAATTCTCTCAGGTAAAGGAAACTACCGTGTACAGGAAACTTGGGTGCAGGACCAGCGGTACACGAACAGTTCTAGGCAACAGCAGGAACAGGAACAGGTACAGGATCAGCGGCAGCGGGTACAGGAAACGTCCGGTACACAGGTGGTACAGCACAGGATCAGCGGCAGCGGGTACAGGAAACGTCCGGTACACAGGAACACAGACTCAGGTGGTACAGCACAGGATCAGCTGCAGCGGGTACAGGAAACGTCCGGTACACAGGAACAGAATAGTCGAGAGGTCCCGATTCCGCTCCAACGACGGGCCCCCATGTCAAATATTCTAGTTGTTGAATATTTGGCTCATTGTCTAGGTTTATGATTCTCGCTTTTGTTTACATGTCTTGTAAATCTTGTCACACAACAGACTAGTTGATTCATCAAAACAATACGCTTCAAGGTACATAAGACATTTATTTGCTGATCGCATTACGAGATTAATGCGTCTCATAGTTTAGTGAACATGAATCCAACGTATATGGCAATATTCCAATCAGCAAAACATGGCATGACAAAATCCACTATCTCCCAAAGAAAGACGTCTCGTTGTAGCGAGTCCTATCTCTCGTCTAACTCTGTGAACGTAATCCCCCGTGACATAATAATTCTTCTCCTCTCACTCTCACGTCTGTGAACCCTTTATACCCCAAATCTCATGCCTCGTTCACTCCACTATCATTCGCCCGTGACATGAAATTAGTTCACAATCCGCATTCGTTCTCAAATCAACACACACACGCTACCTCATGATTTCATGACCTTGACACTAGTGGCGTTCAAAATAATATTATTAAAACTAAAACTGACTTTATTATTATTATATTCGGAAGTTAAAATTCGCATTTCCTAAAAGTAAAACAATCTTAGCGGAAATTATGTTTCACTCCCCTTCTTAATCATGTGACATATCACATGCCAATTGAGCAACAAAATGGCAGGCAACACAGATTTTATCCAGCTTGTAATATTTGTTTTAGCTTTATTTCTACCAGGTGTCGCAGCTTTCGACGCCGGTGATGCCATTGCCTTGGTAATAGGTCTTATTGTTGGGATCCTTGGTGTATGCGCTTGTCTTGGATACTACGCCCGAAAACGAGCATCCTAGAGTGGAATGGAAAAAAATAAGTAAGAATCAATTGAATCATGATCATGTTTTTTGATGAACTCGAAAAGGTGTTTCTGCATATATTTTTTGTATCCTGCATTGGTGTTGTTTATTCTTTGTTAAACTGAACACTTACATCATCTTATACTCTTTATTAAACTCAAGCCGGCTCGAAACAAGTTACATAGCTTAAATCACATTTAAAAGTGGAGGTTAATTCCTACTACTACTACCAGGTACTGGAGATCTGTCATGAGTCATTGTTTTATTTCCACAGAAATTTACTGACTTAAAGAACTCAAAAGTAAGCAGAAGTTGCTGTTATGAAAGTTGTGATAAAATTATAACATTTCATTTTGGATTAACAGAAAGAACATCATTACTTCATATTTCAGGAATTTCCAATTAGGACTATGTTATATGTATAATTAATAATGCATATGCTAATGTATTTCTAATTTGTAATATTAAAAATGTCAACAAAGAAATAAGACCTGCATTTAAAAAATCAGTATTTATATCCTGTGCTCATCCATAAACATGGAATTATCAACTAGGAATGAGCCAGTTGACAACTTTGGAAAGGTACACAAAGATTATTTCCCTAAACTAAAGCTTTTGTCATCTTGATGTATAAGGATACAATAAAATGTTTAAACTTCTGTATTACTTTTATATTTGCAATGTCAATTACTTTTAGTGTGGAATTAAAATGGAAGATTTGTAAGTTTTATTATCAATATCTTATTGTTTAAGTCTAAATTAGTGAAAGAATAATGTAAGAAATTCAAATATTATAATTTTGGGTATGTAAGTACTGAGTTATTTTATGTTTTATTGAAGGAAAATTTATTTGTAGGAAAAACAAAATAAATAACAATAAAATTTATATTTATAAACATCCACATGCCATAACAAAGTTACAGTTCACTGTTTCTTTTTAATATGAATTTTCTGTCTTGTGAATATCTTAAAAACTAACATACTGGTTTTACAAATTACCGGTACTAAAAAAGAACATAATGGCCTGCATTTTCCTCATTTAGTATGTATATAATTATATATATATATATTTAGACTTGAACTTCATTACGTTATTATATATTTTTCACCTTTTTGATTTGTATTTTTTAAATTAAATTTTTGGTACCTGTATTTATTTATAATTTATGTACACACTGAAAACCGTGGTGAAAATATTAAAATTTGTAACTTTTTCAGGTAGACTGTAGATAATTTTTTTTAAGGGTTAAATAGATTGAATTTAGTGTTATTCTAGATAAAAAAAAATTAGGAGCTAAGAATAAAACAAAATTGCATTCATAATATATATTTTATTGTGACCATTTTTGTTTCACTAGCATTTTTAATATAAAATAAATTATGAGAATGAGCTGTGAAGCAGTTGGTTTCATAACATAACAACTTGTTTACACTTCATATTTGACCATATGATTGGTATCTCTGGCTTGCTCTTGGTTTGGTTATACATTATCATCCAAATTGTTGTTATGCTGTACACAATATATTGCAGTCATGTTAAATGAAGAATGTTTGTTTATGGATGGATCTAGGCTTTTTATTTTTTTCATTAAATTTTATTATGAATTACGTTAAATTAAGGCGACTAATTTATTTTAATTGTATGAAAAGGATGAATTATCTATTAGTTTGACAATTTGGAATTTATAAGACCGTCAAAGAAGATAATTTGGTGAAGGGTGAGTTATCGGCCAGTGTGTTTGAATCATCTGTAAAACAAGGTTTCCTGTACATCAAATATTGGATTGTGCAATATTGGTATCGTACATACAATTTTTTTTAAATTTTTATTTGGATGAAAAAAGAAAATTAGATTAACAATTCAAAAGAAACGGTGTATATTTTTTCTCAAATAATAGCTAATTATATTTTAATATTATCAAATTATATAAGTTTAGTTATATTGGTTTATTAATTTCAGCACCTAATTTTATGAATATGGAGGTGTCTGTAAATGTTGACGATAATACCGGTAACTAAATTATATGAAAATAACTAAACGTGTTAATTTTTTGTAATGATTCTTATTTTAAAAATTAATCTGTTCCACCATCAATAAATAAATGTATCTAAAGCGTCAGAATGTTATACCGGCATTGTAACCAATATTTCAAAAAATATTTAGCTACTAAAAAGTCTCTCCATGACATACAAATTTTTAATCACTCCAAATGAAGTCAACAAAATTTGTGTTTAAATCCAAATACATGATGTTATTGCTCTAAGTTATTTGCTAGTAAAAGGAATCGAGGAAAGCTAATATATATAAAGTGTGCCTTAGAGATTGCCAACTTAAAATTCTAGATAAAATTACTTTTTTTTCCTCTATCATTGTTGACTTTTCCTTAGAACTTAATGAACTTTTATTTGATTTCACCTGAATCAAGTTGTTTTCATTGTTCTGTTTTTATTCCATCTCAAGGGAATAAAAAATTAATTTGTTTGATTGAGACGCTGTGAGCTAGCTATTTGTTTATTTTCATGTTCTCATCATAACCTGTTGAAAATTTTATTAAAATTTATATGTGAATTCTTAAGTATTATTTTGTTTCCCAGTTTCAATAGTTTGTGTTCAAGTAGATTTTTTTTCTAAAAGGTAAAAAATAACCCTTTCTTAATATTCTTTAGCATTCTTAATTACCAGTAACTGTATATATGAAATATGAGAAAGGCTTAAAAAAAAAAAGCAAATTTCTTTATTTTATGGGCAGAGATATGGTTGACCCAACAGAGAAAACATGGGTATTTGCTACAACAAAGTGAAAAAAATTGCGTACATGTTGCGGGATAACAAATGTTCATGCTGATTGAGACACTTAATAGTAACTGAAAACTGACATATTGCACCATTGAAAACATTACACTAGCTTTAAGTTAAAGGACTATGTCTATTCCTAAACACTCTATTTGGACATAAAATATGTGGCTGCTTCATCTATTAGTCCTTGTGGTAAATTAACTAAAATTATTCATAAGAAATCAATTAAACTTGCTAAAGTCATTTCCATAAATTATTATTTTTATACCGGTATCAATGTTTTAATCTTGCAGACTATTCATTTGTCAAAGATGATGAATGGAATCAATATCCACAAGAAAAATAATTTACTATGACATAGTCCTTTAAAATGTTATTTTTCAAAACATATCTTTGGAATTTAATTGACATACATCAATGTACATTACAGGGCAAAGAATTCATTCAAGTAAAGTTTCATGCTGTACAATCACAAGTTAAAAAATAGGAAGATAAGTCTTCAACTAAAATCTTGTTGAAAGCAGAAAGAACAGTGGGCAATAATAAAAGACTTTTAATTAAACTCTGTATTTAATATTGTAAATAAATATTAAAACTAAAACACAGACATGCAGGTAATGCAAATTCTAATCCCATTACTTATTCTAGAGCTAATAGTACCCTAATAAAAATGTGACATTAGAAACAATATCGGAACCTGGTATCACTTATTAGGCAATGAAAATTACAGTTTCACAAAATTTGGAGTTAAATAAAAATGTGCCTGTTTATTTTGTTCATTCATTTCACCAATAATGACAAGTGCAAAAATAATAAAATATTTTTAAACATTTAGTTCATTTACAATTATTTTAAACTAATAAATTTAAAAGGTTGAGTGTCCCCATATTAAATTATAAAAATATAAACATTGCACTGTGTGTTCTATAAAGTATATGAAAATTACAAAGAGGAAAAAAAAAGAAATCAAAATTTTAAAAAAATATATATTTTGATTAAATACATTAAGTTCTGTATCTCCATCATAATGCAATTAAAAAATAAAGACGCTTTAAGTGTCCCAATTGCCAACAACTCAATTTGTTCACACCTTCATAATACAACCAAACCATAAATTTGAAAACATGTGTTTAAAAGATATTGTTCTATAAATTCACTCATGCAGATGAATAAATCACATTATTAATCATTGAGATGTCAATTTTAAGTTTTACTAAAACTAGGGGAAAACTTCAAAAATATTGACAATATAATGAATAGAATGAAAGTTAACAGAAGTAAAATATTGAATTTCATGAGTGGTCTTCGAAATAATTGATGACAAAATAGCTGTGCAATTGTACGAAGGTATTGCATAAAGTTACTTGTTTCATGAATTTTCTTTTGGATTAAAATTACCACTTTACCAAAAACAAAATGAACAAAATTATACATGTTAATGTTAAGATTTCTTGTTGCTTCTCAATTCACAGGAAAAAGAAATTTTAAAAAAAGGGATTTTAAAAAGTATAGCATCAATGAATTATAAATAAATTTTACCCATGTGCACACATTTTTAAAAAATGAGGTGTTTTTTTTTCAACTTAAAAATAGGAAAATGAAAAAAAATTTTTTTTGGAAATGTAGGCACAGGAACTGTAAATAAAATATTGCACTAAAACTTGAAGTCACCAAATTTCACATAAATAGGAATGGCATAAATTTTTTTTCACTAACATACATTTTTGCATGCTGATCACTTCATAATAAAATAAAAGCAATTCCAGTACCGGTACTAGCTTTAGGCATTGGTAAAATCCACATCCAGGATATTTCCTCCTTAGCTAATCCTTCCATTTTCTATCCATTTTCTTTTTATTACACCAGAACTGGCAATTAAAACTGACCTTATCTACAAATAAGAACAAAAATAGTTGCTGGTATATTTTTGGAAAAAAATAAATAACATCAAGTGATTTGTAACCAGCTAATATATTTCTATTTATAATAGAAAATCTTCTTGTTTCTCCTTGAAATTGATATGTGTTAAATTAATTTCAAGGCACTAAGTTTCAAAATGAATTTAAAATTTCACAATAATTTGAAGAAAAAAAACATTACCTAGGTTAATAAATTGGAATTAAAAAACAAAAATGAACCAAGGCTAACACTAAACAGGACTTATTGGATTAAATAGCATTGAATGTTCTTATGTAATTTTAAATCAATATATGTTTAATACAAGTTTATTCAGTAGCTAAAGAAATTTATGATATACCAGGATCTATGTTGACACTAATGTCATTACAGTAACTAAAGTTTTCATTTGGAGACATCCATCCATCCATCCCTGTGGCGCTACAGCCCATGTAGGGCTTTGGCCTGCCTCACCACTTCCTTCCACTCAGACCTAACTAATGCCTTTCTTTTCCATGCTTGGACTTTCAACTGCTGTAAATCATTTTCCACATCATCTATCCACCTAAGCCTAGGTCTGCCTTTGAGCCTTTTTCCTCTGGGGTATTGGTGATGTACCCTCTTCGTTCCTCTGTCATTTTGCATTCTCTCTAGGTGTCCTGCCCAGCATAGCCTGCCTCTTTTTAGAGTCACCATTTAGATGATTTGTTTATAAAAAAGAAAAAAAAAATGCTGTATGTTGATCAGAGATCCCTTCAAATGGTAGAAAACCATCCAATTCGTTGAATGCCACTTTCATATATACCTGTTTTAAAACGTTAGCTTAGTTACATTCTTACAACACTGACATCAATTATTCTGTTTTTCATAAATAAATTGGGCAATTTTATTAAACATAAATGCAGGACAAGTTTAAAAAAACATGCCAATATTGAATATAGTCATGACTAATTAATTTTTAAAAACATATATTTAAATAAAATACATAAATCTATAACAGACATTTGAACAACTAAATACTATTGGAATATATTTTAAGGCAGAAAATTGATATTTAGTGTGTCAAAAATATTTTTAAAAGTTTCAATTTTAAACAAAATCTTGCAGCAATTGAATGCACTAAGCATGGCTCAGAACATAAATGTCTTTAACCTCTGCTAAAAATTAGTACCGGGTATATAGTCATTAGTAGACATAATATGGTTCTAAAAGTGATTGAAGTTAAAAATCTACAGGTCAAAACTATATATTATTTATGCATGTTGTAATTGTTCCGGTTGTACCGCTTCTTTAAAAAATCTGGTTCATTCTTGTTAGAATTGCAAATGATGTCATTGAGATAAAATTGAAATTTTCATTTACCACACACAACTTTTAAGACTAATTTCTTCTATATAAAATACATTTTTTTTTACAAAAAATGCAAAATTTTATCGAAAATGTTGGTAGCAAAAATGTGATTCATATTCTTAACAGGGCACCCACAAAATTACACTTATCACAAGAAAATCATATTTTAAAAAAAAAGACAGTTGTTGCATTCTAAGAACCCATATATATCTTGATTCTTTCCATTTACATTAAATACTGCTATCTTCAGTTTAATTTTTTTTTAAAAAAGCTTTTCCCTCATTAGAATAAATGCATTCATTACTTTTCACACACATGTTTAATTACACATGTTATATTTTTAACTCAATGACAGCTATTTTTTAAGCTGATGTAATCTATCTTATTGTGCTACAGCAAACGTTATCAATGTCTGACTACAGACCTTTTTGGCAATGTGATAAATGCAAGATAAGATATCAGCTCTATAGAGAGTAGAGCACTTTAAAAAAAGATAATAGTTTCATAATGTTTTTCAATCTTTTTAAATTGTACATAATTATTGTATTATAATAATATTATAGGTGTGTAAATTTCAGAGGTTCCAGTCCCACTAAAAGAATAAATATTGTATATCAATATGCTTTCTATTATACAAAATATATTTAACACAATTTCACTTCAGAAATGTAATTATAAACTTGTAATAGAGATTTTACATTGATTTAGAAATTTCTAGACTTTTAAATTTTTATGCCAATTTGCTTTAAAGTGTGAGAATCATTGGCTACAACTGGTAAATGAATCTTTAAAGATTCTTTGAGGGAAATAAACTGCTATAAGCTGTGCTTATAACTAATAAATATAATTAATAATAGCATAGTAGTCCACTTTCTGTTTTTCCGGATGATTTAGTACATAACAATGACAAAATGAAATACATATGGATTGTAGCGGTGTTTGGGAATTAGAAAACACAAATGCGGTGCTTTTCAATATTACAATAACAATTATTACAATTAAATCCCAGTTAAAAGCAATTCATATGAAAATTAACAGACAAAATAATTTAAAAGTGGTAGCCATAAATTAAGAGAGGAAAACATAATATGCACAAAAAAATCTATTCACATGTGGAAGTGGTTCACAACCTTAGCCTTAGAAAAGAGCTTCACTTTATTGAAACAAGATGAACAAAGTAAAATGGGTTTAAAAAGTACTGATAGTATAATATCAAGTTCAGCACTACAGAAAATATTGGTTCCCAAGCCCTGTTAAGTTTCATCTTAATAGCTCCTACTTGGGAGGAATAATATTTACATATATATCATGAGATGATACAATTCCAAATACTGATTTAAGATTATCTAAGTTAAAACCAGGACATCTTATCAAACTGATAGCAACTAGAAAATTTATTTAAATAGTTTTAATGTTTATTTTGGTTTATATTGTCAACAATATTTTTTTTTTAAATTGCTTCCGCTTACTGATTTGTCTGGCTCATTTAACGAAAAACACCATTTTTAGATTATTTCATTCCCCTAACTAAAAAGAAATTTATGTTCCTAAACTTAGCAAGCACCCACTCAGACCCTGAATGTGACTAAGATAAATCATCAAAATCATGTTGAAAAAATGTA